ACTGTTAGTGTCGAGCTCTTGGAAGGGGGGGGGGGTAAATAACTGAGAGTAATCAGAAACAATTCAAAGGCATAAGAGCATTCCAAGACATTTGCCGTCATTGTAGTTAACCATTAACAACTATTATTATGCATTAAACTTACTATGTAACTCTGATGAGTCCAGAGCATACTGTCAATATACAATACTGTATGAAGTTGACATGAGAACCCAATATCTGCAACAGATATTGGGTTATCATGTCAAGTTCAAAGTCTGCCTGGTCTCTAAGTCCTTTGTCCATGTTAGTGTTTTCAAACGTTTGCAAACTCAGAGGTGTATTCTTTTGCAGATTGTTTAATGGAATGTATAATAAAACAATTATTGAACTTGGGTTTTGCTTGATATCATGATTTCTCATACCTTTTATCTGTGTTATCCGCCTCAGCCTTTGGCAGATATTAACTTGGACCTCTGCACTGACAATTCATGATATAATGCTCAACCTCATCCAATAATTGCTTATTGTTTAAGTTGTATAAGTGTACATGCATAATCTGGTCATTATGTCCCTAAGAGTGACTACCATGTAATTTCTCCTAACTTTATTATCCCTGAATCACTTATTATGATCAGGAGAATTGAGGAAATGATCACCAACTACAAAAGCTCCTGATTGTTACACAAATTCTCCTTTTCAGCAGCTTAGGAAATGAATATAGAACTGTACAGAGAATGTGCATACTGATGTTGAGGAGTAAAGGGTTAATTGCAGTGGTATTTCCAAAGAAGTTTTTAACTTTATGTGACCAGGCTCACAATTGTGCACGACATTGCGATATTTTTTGTTACAATTTTAGAATTACATCTTCAGAAACTATTTCCTATGATAAAAAAATTATCATACCCACAGGATTTGCACCCTAAATTTCCTTTAAGTTGCACCATCACACCTAACTGTTTCCTATGATAACCAAATCATCCTAAACACAGGATTTGCAGCTAAATTTCCTTTAGAATGATCACACCTAACTTCCAAAATTTTAAAGGATTTCCTGCTTTTGTTCGATTCCTTACAAAAGAAGTACAGTTAGTTAGTTTAACTCAGTAGTTCAGAGTGTCAAGACCAGCCCTTACAGCTCAGAACCTCTTGGTCACAAAAAAGTAACTCCAGTATGTGTAACCTCAAGTTAGTGACCTATTTTACTGAGGATTTGCTTGCAATCACCCTTTCTTTTTTATCAGTATTATTTCTTTTGTACTTTCCTGTATAAATAAATTTTATTGTGGCTACAAGTCTGTCTCGTTGTTCAAATAACAACATCAGAACCTGCCTCGGTCACATTTAGTCCGGGGCTCTTCCTACGTCGTGCAAACTTTTAAAGAGCCCCTCATCAAATTACAAAATATGTGGATTGAAAAAGACACTTCTAGTCATTTTAGCTCTGGGGAATGTTAATTCCACTATATAGTTATTTGTTGCAGGTCTAGAAAGCAGATCAGGTCTGATATCCCAGATACCAGCATAATTTTTATTGACTAAGTTTAATCTAATGTGAAAGCAAATGCTGTAAAGATTAGTNTTTCCGTAGATAACAGAGAGTTCAACATGAGTTCAAGGCTAACAGAAATGTTCTTTCCGCCGCAATTCTGTTCTTTTGCAAGCTTCCTCACAGTGACATGAAAGAGAATCGCGAAGGGATTATTCGATTTTAGGAGATCTCAGGATCTGATGTTTTGGAATTTATCTACACTGGAACTGTGGAAGTAATTCAGGAAAATGCCGAGGAACTCGCCACAGGGAGTTATATGATCATACTGAGCTTGAAAATTGTTTCAGGACGGTTTTTGGAACGAAAAATGTCACACATGAACTGTATTTCAACCAAGAATGGATCTACAAAACAACCATACCGGTGACAATAGTCGCCGTGACAGATAGACTCTACTACTCTCTTTGCGGGTGATATGGCGGCCACACGTGGCTCCTCTGGTCTCCTTGACTTTGCGTCATTACTTCTTTTTGTTGTCCTTCTCGGCTCTTTTCAAATATCTGAATATCGAGTTATCACCACGCTCCATAAGCCTGCTTCACGGAACGTTACTACAAGAACATTACAAAGTCCTGTCCCTCCGTTTTGGATCTCACAGTCGTATTACAATTACGACTCGTTCGTCGCAGAAGACGAGCGTTTCTGCGAAGCCGTGTGTCATATGATGTGGATGGTGCTCGATTGTTTCACCCGATCAATCTTTCTGGCGACATTCATCCAAACCTGGGTCCTCCTGGGCAACGGATGAAGTATCCTTGTGGTGAATGTAATCAGAATGTACGAAGAAACTAGGACGCCATTTTGTGTTCAGAATGTGACTGTTGGTTTCGTGCGAAGTGTATTGGTATGAGAAAGCATATCTTCAAATATTACCTAGAGAGGCATCACTTGGATTGGCAGTGTTCATTTTGCTCACTACCCAGACTAGGTGATTCGTTCTTTGAGGACGATTTACAAACAGTCGCTTTACAAGCAGTTGGAAATGATGCTAGTGTTCATGAAGAAGTCAGTTGGGATGAACAAATCAAAAATGGCCACGGCTCACGTATGTGTATCCCTGACTTTGAGGAAATCGGTAAAGAGTACATGATGAATTGTAAGATTCCTCATATCAATGCCAACAGCATTGCAGGACACAAGTTTTATGAGATACGGCATTGGTTACGGTCGGGTTTCTTCGATATCTTAGTAATTTCGGAAACGAAGTTAGATAAAACTTTTCCCAACAGCCAATTTATGATTGATGGCTTTCGCTTTTTCAGGATTGATAGAAATATACATGGCGGAGGGCTTATGCTTTATATAAGGTCTGATATTCCGTTCATGTTTAATAGAAGTATATCTATAGAGCAATGTGGAAAATATGCGAACTACAAGTTGGAAGATCATGGATTACAATTGTTGGTATTTATCGCCTGCCATCTCTCAAAGAATCCCGATGGGAATTTGAGATGAGTAATCTGTTTGAAATATTTACTTTCCGAGGGAACGATGTTTTGTTTCTGGGAGACTTTAATTGTGATCAGTGATTCATCCTGACAAAGCGTCAAAGGATGGTCGACGTCTCGTGGACTTACTGGATGTTTATCATCTTAAAAACTTGGTTACGCAATCCACACGAGTAACAAAATCTACGGAAACGCTTGTCGATTTGATACTGACTAACAACAAAAGAAGATTCCTTGAAACTGGTGTCGTAGACACACAAATTAGCGATCACTCGCTTGTTTACACTATTATGCGAGTCACATTACCGCGACTAAGGTCAAGAAAAATCGCATTCCGCAGTTTGAAAAATTTTGATCGAGATAAATTTATAGAGGATCTCAGTGCCGCTCCTTTTCATATTATGGACATTTTCGATGATCCAGATGACATGTTGTATGTTTTTGAGGCGCTTGATGAACATTCGCCACTCAAATATGCACACGTACGTGGAAATCATGGACCATTTATGAACAATCAATGGCGTTCAGCTATACGGAAAAGAAACAGTCTCCGGAGACGTTTTGCAAAAGAGCGGACCGACGCAAATTATGATATTTACAAGGCGCAAAGGAATTTATGCACATCACTTCGACTCAAAGCAATAAAGAAATATTTTCACAACAAAGCTGAAGGATCCAAAAACCCAGCTGACTTTTGATGTATCGTCAAGAGCCATAATTGGGACCCATTATGGCTCTTGGTATCGTCCAGGAGCTCTGGCCAAGCAAACGACATATTACTTAAAGAAGATGGTAACTTCATAAATGACAAAAAAGTTCTTGCTGAGCTTTTTAATGATTACTTTGTGAACATCTTGGAAGATGGCAATGAGATCACGGAAATGGATTATGGTACAGATTTCATTGAACATCCAAGTATCAGAGCAATAATGCACAACAAGGTGGAAAGGGAAACCTTCAGCTTTGACCTTGTGAATTCATCCCAAGTGGATCTTTTATTATCTTCTATTAACAGTCGCAAATCCTGTGGTCATGATATGCTACATCCGAAGCTACTCAAATTATCTGGTCCGATTATAGCGCTTCCAGTGTTAAAAATAATTAATTCCTCAATCATTTCGTGTTGTTATCCGGTTAGGTGGAAAATGGGCCAAGTAAAGAAGACGATCTCTACAAGAAGAATTATCGACCGTTGACGGTACTACCAGTTTTAAATAACATCTACGAGAGAGTCTTGTCTGACCAACTATGAGTATATTTCAGAGACATGTTGTCTGACTTCATTTCTGCATATCGCAAGAATTATAGCTGTGAGACCACACTGCTGCGTCTAACAGAAGATTGGAGGGCTGGCTTAGATAATAAAGAACTCGTTGCTGTGATATCTCTAGACCTTTCCAGGGCCTTTGACTGTGTACCACACGAGTTGCTAGGCGTATGGGGTAGCCGAACATGGCGTTGCCGTCTGTTGCGAAGTTACCGTCTGAAAGATCGCATAGAGTAACTGAGTAGGCGACAAGTTTTCTTCTTGGCTGCCGGTTATAAAAGGAAGACCTCAGGGATCCGTCCCTTAGATCCCTTTTCTTCAATATATTTATGAATGATCTCTTTTACTTCCTGAAAGGAGTCTGTATCAATGCTTATGCTAATGCTGAGCAAATTTATGCCTCGGATAAAGATCCAGTGAAGATAGAAATGAAACTTCGATGCCAACTCCTCGAAGCTGACCAATGGTTTGGTATAAATGGCATCATTACAAATCCGGACAAATATCAAGCACTGATTTTAGGGAATACAAACTACACCTTCAGTTTTACAGTGAATGACACTAATATTTCGGTAAAAGATAACATTGACCTCTTAGGAGAGAACTGTTGACAAGAATCCGCAGTTCAACAGCCATGTTAAAAACATTTGTACAAAGGTCAACAATCAAATTAATGTAATTTCCCGTTTTCGAAAAATAGTAACGACGGATGTGAAA